CCGAGTCCGTCGCAGCGAAGTGGGGGCGGCCTGCAGCTTGCCGGCACTGCGGCGCGCCTGTGGAGGATCTCGAGCACCGCATGTGGGTCTGCCCGTGCTGGGAGCCCCAGCGCCGAGCGGCGTTGTAGCCAGAGGGCTTCACTGCGGAGGCCGCCCGCGCTTGCATACCTCCCGAGGCAGCGCGCGCGGGCGTCTTGCACCGGAACCCTCGCTTGGCAGTCCTCGCGGAGGAGGCCCAGCTGCCCTTGCCGCTGCCCGCGCTCCCCGACCCGCTGGCCGGCCTCCCGGCTGCGCCACAGCGCAGGCCACGCACCTGGACGGACGGCTCCTGCGTGCGCCCGAGCGACCCCCTCCTCGCCAGAGCTGGCTGGGGCGCCCACCTCGAGGGCGGCGCCGGGGGCCACGTGGACCGCCATGGCCCCGTCGATGGAGCGCAGACCGCCCAGCGCGCAGAGGTCTGGGCTTGCGTGCAGGCGCGGCACTTGGCGGGTGGCTGCGTGGAGGTGGTCACTGACTCCCGCTTCGTCAGCCGCGGGGTCGCAGCGCTCCGGGGCGGCGCCAGCCCAGCTGAGTGGGTGGCGGGGCTGGCCGCCGAGGGCCGGATGCCTGCGACCGCGCTGCGCCAGGAGCGGCAGCGGCAGCTCGACGCGCTGGCTGCGGTGCAGAGGGTGTTGGCGTTCGTGGAGCTCGCGGCGCTCAAGGCCAACCATGCTCCGCGCGGCGCTGCGGGGCCGCGCGTTCGGCGTCGCTGGGCGGCGCCGCGCGCCGCGCGGCCCCGGCAGGCCCCGCTGGATCGAGGCCTGCGGCCGCGTGCGGCGCAGCCGCCCCTGCCCCGCCGGCTGCCCCGCCCGCGCCGGCGGCCGCGGTTCGCTCGCTGTTCGCCGGCCACGCCTGGCGGCCGCACGCGGCGTCCCAGGGGCCAGGATGGGTCGCCTGCCTCCGCTGCGGCGGATGGGCCAAGCAGCGGCGCGGGTTGGCGAGCCGGCCGTGCGCCGGCTGGCGCTGCCGCCGCGCGCGGCGGGCCTGCTGCTGCTGCCGGCGCCCCGCGCCGGTGGCGCCGAGGACGACTGGCGGGCGGCGCTGCGGGCGCGGCCCGCCGCGCGCCCCGGCGCGCCCGAGGCGCCAGGCTAATTAATTGCATTGGCGGCGCCGCCGCAGGCGCGGGATCGTTGCGCAGAATATTATTTTGCATGATTCCCACAGGAACGACAATACTGTATGTGAGAGCCCGCAAACGTTCACACGGTATTATCGGTAAACCGACAGGCTTCGATGGCATTACATACCGATAGTGTTGTTATTGTTCTGGTTCGTTGCATGTGTATACCTATGTCTATACATGTGTGCATACAAGTCTGCTAGCCAACGTGGGCCGCCAGCGTTACTGCCTTGTTATATGTATACGTATATATATAGAGATATACATGTGCGTGGTGCAGTCCAGGTGGTGCAATCAAATTGGTGCAACGCATGTGGTGCAACCCGCGTGGGGCAAACCATGTGGCCCAACGCAACGCACAGCAATACAAGGACGCAGCGCAACACCAAGCAGTGCAACTCAATGCAAATCAACGCACAGCTATACAACGCAACGCAAAGCAATGCCAACCAACGCAAAGCAATAATAAGCAATGCGCAGCAATGCAACGCAATGCGAAGCAACGCGCAGCAACGCAAAACAGTGCAAAGCGACGCGACGCACTGCAGAGCAACGCGCAGCAATGCAAAGCAAGACAAGCATAAGCAAACCAATGCAAAGGAATGCGAAGCAGTTCAAAGCAACGCAAAGCAATGCGAAACAATGCGAAGCAATGCGAAGCAATGCTACGCGGACGGCGGCGAGGCGACGGCGGCGGCGGCCACATGGCGGCCAAAACGGCTCGCAGGCCCAGGCGACGTGCGGCGACGAGGCGGCGACGGCGGCCACATGGCGGCCAGAGCGGCCCGCAGGCCCAGGCGACGGGCGGCGACGGGCGGAGACGAGGCGCGACGGCAGCCACATGGCGGCCAGAGCGGCCCGCAGGCCCAGGCGACAAGGCGGCGACAGGGTGGCGACGGCGGCAACATGCCCCTAAGTGCAAGCGGCGACAAAGGGACACTCCAATTTTAGTAGTAGGCATTTGAAAAATGGATGCAGACAACGTCATAAGCAAACACTTATATCTATATAGGTTTATATTCACATCGATTGCCATTGTTCGTTTCGCACTACATCTGTTCTTGTATATCTATGTGTATATATGCACATATGTTTACATACATATATACACGAATGCATACGTATCGAGGCGATTGTATGGATATGCGTATATGGGGTACAAATGTGTGTGTATGTATATATATATATATATATATATATATATATATATATATATATATATATATATGCCGGCGGAACAGGAGCGAGGCCGCCAGGAGTGTGCTTGCGCCCTCCAAGGGGGTTCCGGGGCTCACTTTCCCTGTGTCTTCACAAGGTTTCGGCGTTCCAGGGCCTCCGAGGGAGGCCGCCAGGAGTGGAGCTGCGCCCCCCATGGGGGCTCCGGAGCTCACTTTCCCTGTGCTTTTACAAGGCTTCGGCGTTCCAGGGCCTCCGAGGCCGCCGCCTCCGACCCCCCGTGGCAGGACGGGGCGGCTGGGGAGGTCCAAAATAGTCCAGGAGGGCCTCCAGAGGCTCCCAAGACGGCCCAAGCGGGCCCCGAGTCGCCGAAAGACCGCTCTAGGACGCCCAAGATAGGCCCAAGACGGCCCGAGAGGCCCCCCAAGGCACTCCACGACGCTTCAAGACGCCTCTCCAGAGCGCTTCAACAGGCCGAAATCGTCAATTTTACGAAGGTGTTCGAACGATTTTGGCCTTCCAGCCTTTTCGGCTGTCCGACGTTCCAAGACGGCTCTAGGCCCCCAAGAGCGCCCCAAGACGGCCCAAGAGGGCCCCAAGACGGCCCCATAGTCGCCCAAGACAGCCCAACAGAGCCCCAAGACGGCCCCAAGATGCGCCCAAGAGGGGGACCACGACTCCAAAATTCGACCCTCCCGCTTGAAGAGTGCCCCAGGAGGCCCAAGGAGCCCCCAAGAGGCCCCAGGAGGCCCCCAAGAGGCACCCAGGAGGCCCAAACGAGGCCGAAAGAGGCCACAAAACAGCCCCGAGGAGGCCCCACAACGGTCCCAAAACAGCTACCGAGAAGCTGCGAAACTGCCTTCACGACGTCTCCGACAGGCCAACCACGAGATCCAAACCAACACCCATGAGGCCTCTGACCCACCACCCAGGGCACTGTGGCGGGAGTAGTGACAGCACTTGTGCACAGTATGTTCCGGCGGGAGCCTTCCGGAACACGCTGCAGGAGGAGGAGGAGGAGGAGGAGGAAGATCAGGAGGAGAGAGAGAGCTGGAGTGGGAGGAGGAGGAGGGGGACGAGGAGGAGGAAGAGGCCTCTAAGACAGCTCCAAGATAGCCGAAGAGGCTTCCAAGAGGGCCCTGGGCGGCCCACGAGGGCCCCAAGGCGGTGCCTGAGGCGCCCAAGAAGGTCCGAGAGGGCCCCAAGACGGCCCCAAGAGAGGCCCAAGAATGGAAACACGAACTGAGAATCCGAGCTTTCTACCCCGAGAGGTTCTCGGGAAGTCCCAAGAGGCCCCCAATCGGATCCAAGAGGCCCCCAAAAAGCTCCCAAGAGGGCCGACGAGGTTCCAAGAGATCTCCCAAGGTGGCCCCAAGAGGCACAACTCATTGTTTTACGATTGGGCTTTGACGGGTTTTGATTTTTTCTGCCTTTTGGCATCCCGATGCTCCAAGACGGCCCAAGAGGCTTCCAATACCGCTCCAATATAGAGGAAGAGGCCTCCAAGAGGGCCCCAAGACGGCCCGCGAGGGCCCCAAGACGGTGCCACCGTGCTTGAGGCGCCCAAGACGGCCCGAGAGGGCCCCAAGAGCCCCAAGAGAGGCCCAAGAAGGGGAACGCGACCCAACAGCAGAGCGTTCCCCCAAAAAGGCCCACAGGAGGCCGCAAGAGGACCCCAAAAGCTTCCCGAGGGCCCAAAAGGCCCCTAGGAGACGTCCAAGAGGTTTTAAAGTAGCCTAAGGGTGCCCTCGATTCGTCAAAACTGCTTCCAGGAGGCCCCCAGGAGGTTTCTGGATTGCCTCGATCTGGCCGCAGGTGGCCTCAAGTCGGGCCTACACGCAGCCAAGACGTTCAATGACGGCTTCAGATTGCAGAACCGATGCCCCCAAGGGACCCTCAGATGCCCCCCCAAGAGGCACCCAAGAGGTGCCTCCAACAGCCAGTTGACGAAGCATGCGGAACACCCCAGAAGCTTCTCAGATGCCGTCGCGCGCTTGTGCTTGATAGCGTTGTCCAAGATCGTCCAGCGCCCCTCCGGCCTGGGCTAGAACCTGAGCGCGCGCGAAGCGCGCGCGATGGTTCTAGAATATCTATTTATATATATATATATATATATATATATATATATATATATACACGTAGATAGAGACCTACATCGAGAAATTACGAAACATGCAGAGAGATGGGTATCACATTATTCGGAGCTTGTTCACAAGGGACCGGGGGACATATATATATAGAGAGAGAGAGAGAGAGGGACAAGAGAGAGAGATATAGAGACATAGACAGACAGCGAGAGAGACAAAGAGTGAGAGAGCGCGAGCGAAAGAGAGAGAGAGAGAGAGAGAGAGACAAAGAGAGACAGAGACGCAGGGATGGAAACAAGGCGTCAAGTTAGGTAATCGCGGTGGTGCGATGGAGAAGGGAGGAGAGTAAGGTCGTGAAGTTGGGAACGTGGGAACGTGGCTGGGAAGGGAGGGGGGGAAGAGCGGGGAAGGAGAGGGAAGAAAGGCGGGCGGACAGAGAGGGACCAGACAAGCTGCGTGCGACTCTGCATGTCCCTCGGACGGCTGGAGGCAGCGCGTGCGACAGAGCGGTGCGGATTTTGCGTGCGTTGTTTCCCCCAGTCTCTGCCCCTTCGTCCCCCGCTCGTGGGCTTTCACAGGCGGTGGAGGCCAAGTACGGAAACAGCATGTTCGACGCAGAGATCATCGAGGCCGTCCGTTGTCTGGGGCCCGGGGGACTCATTGCTCTGGGCACGGGCGAGCTTCGCGCACGGTCCTCCTCTGGCGTAGCCGTTCGGCTCGCAAGCCGGACGTCTGATGCCAAAGACGCCGGTTCTGACCCTGCAGTCGCTAGCATGCATTCACAGTATGCGCCTCCCCACATGTGCAGTGCGAAGAGACCGGTGACATGTGTACATCGCGGCCCGCAGATGCTGCACCGCCGTGCTCACTGGGCACATCTGATGCGGCAGCTGCCTGCCGAGGAGTGTTCGCAGGCAGGGGTGTGAGCCGCCAGCGCCACGATCACAGCAGGAGGGGGGACGACCTGAGCGATGTATGCGCTTGCGCGAGCGCAGACGAAGGCCCGCTGCGGCCGCACGCACCAGACGCGACCGCGGTCGACAATTGGGTCACTGAAGGAGTCCTTGGCCCAATGTGTCCTCAGCTATTCGCTCCATTCTGACATTCTGGAGCCCCTGGAGCCCTTCAGGCCTCGTAAGGGGTGCTCTCGAGGCCGTGAGGGCTTCCTGGAAAATCCACGGGACCCCACGCTTAGGGAGCAATTCCTGGGACATTATATTCAGAATCGGCTCTGGTATATCCCTGGTCGAGAACTGGCCTGATTTGGCTTGATCTCGCAGTTCAATCCCGTGTAATTTGGCTTAGTCCCGCTCTAATCGGGTTCAATGGCCCCTGATCGGTGACTTGATAGCCTTTATTCGGTTCCCAGGAGTTGCCTCCTAACCTTTGGCGAGGGACGCCTCTGTCAACACCTCAACTAGGGGCAAGGGCGGCGCAGATCGAGACGCTCACCGCGCCTAGGGCAGGCACTGGAAGAGGACGCCGGCCCGCCCCGAGTCCGTGCCATCGGGCGACGGCATCGGCGGCCACGAGCTGGAGCACGGTTTCTGGGACCGGACCGACCGCACCGCGGACACCCAGCACAACAATGTTAGCGGGCGAACGCCTGGCGACGGTCGCTGGGTTTTTCGCCTGAACCGTCGCGGATCCACGGCGGCAATCGTGGCCACACTCCGCACCGTCCGTGGCGGAACTATTCCGTCACTGCTTAGCCACAATCCGCGACCATGATCGTGGCCCGGCAACTCTCGGCAACTCAGTTTGGCCACGGATCCGCGGCAGACCCCAGATCCACGAGACTTGTCACAGGAGGAGGCGCAGTGCATCCTGGGACATGGGGTTGAAGTCAGGGGAGGCAGAAGTACAGATACCGCTGCTCGTCCTGGAGAGCCCTCGTCGCCACGCGCCACGGCTGGATTGTCTTCGAAATTTTGGTCGGAACGCACCTCGGTACAGGTCCAGGGAGTAACAGTGTCGGTATCGTTTCGCCTGCCCAGTCAAAATCGCCGTTCGTCACGATTAGAGCCAGGCAGAGAGATCGGATACTCAGAGTTCTTCGGCGGTGTCATCGTGAGAGGCCGGCCTCGGTGCCCGACCTGGTGTTTTGTTTCCCCCCTCCATGTGTGCTGCCATAGGTGGTCATGGCCCGAGGTGCTCCTGGACCCCCTGGGGCCTTCTGAGCCTCGTGAAGGGATGTTTTGGGTGAGGAAGAGGAGGAAGAGTCAATGCACCCCTTCCGCACCACTATTATTTTTCCCTGCCTGCTGTTTCTCCTTGCACGCGCTGTCTGCCTGCTGTACTGACTTGTTCTGCTCCCGCAGCTATATACGCTGGCTCTAGGGAAACCGTTACGGAGCGAGCCTGCGGCGCGCGCGCGCGTGCGTCGGCCGGCGGGCCGGCCTCTTCCTTTCAATGTTACCTTAGTGTATGCTTGACGGCACTATCCTTTCTTACCCATGTCACTTGCGGAGCCCACTGACCATGATATACCACCGGAACATATTGCAGGGATTATGAATATCCAGGCAAACGACTGGCTATCAGACGAAACGACGGCACAGCCGCTCGCTTCGCAAAGCATGGGATCTCAAGAAGGAACGATCGGGCGAACAGAAGATCGAAGACCTTCCGAGCGCAACGCGAGTATAAGCGCCGCCGCGAGGCGACCAAACCCTGTTAACCTTCGCAGTAAGAAAGCATGATCGACGATGTTCGACGTAACAGAAGGGGATTCATCGGTTGATTCAGTGACAAGATCCAGAGAGCAACGCTCTAGTGGAAGGTATGGCACAGCCAAAACTTCCGCCGAGGGACCCTCTGAGTTGGTGTCGGCACACCCTTGCTTGCAGCCATCGATCGACATAGATCTCGACATGGAAAGGCTGTTGGATCAGATCCCCATCGAAACACCAGGCGCTGAAAGTCTGCGCGCCGAGCACGCAATGCAATATACGTTGTGCGGACAGAGTGAGGATGTGAGCGACCTACAGTCTGAAGGGGGCAGCTCCCGTTCGATAGAAAAGAACGAGGTATACGGCCAGTTTCGCGCCTCGCCGGGGCCGTCGCGTCATCTCGAGCATCTCCTTGATCCGTATGTCGTTCTCGCTCCTGACCGTGTAGTGATAGAGGCAAGTCGGAAAACCATCATTGTTTCGGACGATGACTGTAGAGACGGAGAAAGCCTCAATCAAGATGAATGCTCATCGGCACAGCCGATATCGAGCTCCCCCGACGCAATGCGCGCGGTGAGAAGTACGCGAGAAGCTACAGGCATGACCCCCCGCACGCTTACGAAGACACCGAAGGGTAAGAATGACGACTTGAACACGTCGCCCTGATCGCAGGGTCTTACAAACCAGATCTCTCGCTGCCCAGAACAAACAGACATATTTTACCATAACTCGACGAGCTCGTCATACAGGACGAACGAGACGACCTGGCAAGGAGCGTGGGCGTTGACGCTATCAAGAGGGGCCTAAGAGCGAGAGAACACAACACGCGCCGACCCGAAGCAGCGAAAAGGGACGATCCAGTAAGGCCCCCAGGGCCGGGCGTTCCAGTTCCAGAGGATTTAATGCCTTTGATTCGCCGCGAGTGTCATCGAATAGAACCACCAGCAGCTTCTCGACACGGGAAGGCTGGTGGAATACTGGGCCGACGTGCCCCACTCGGGCGGAGAATTGGTGCCCTGGGAAAGCGCGCAAACAGGGGGTTCATGTCGAAGACCAGTGTGTTCTCAATGTTCGAATGTTTGCTCCAAATGTAGCCTAGCGTGGCTTTGCAATGAGTGCATCACGATGGGAGAGCACAACTGCCATTGCCATCATCTCGCGATTCAAGAGTGGGCGGAAATAATCAGACAGGATCGAGAGCAGCTGAGGGCCGCGAGTGTGCATATACAGCAGGTTATCTCCGAGGCACAGGTAAATGAGTTGGCCGCCGAAGAGGCTCAACGCGAGCTGGCGGTTTCCGAGGGTGGGAGACAAGCCATTGCACAAAGGATGGAGCATGAGAAAACCATCAATATGGAAAACGCGCAGAAGATGATACAGCATGCTGAGGCCAACGCAGCGGGCGTTGCAGACGAAGCACATCGGCGCCCTGCCCGAGAGGAGAGGAAGAATAATATATATATATATATATATATATAAACGGGACAACTGGTGTCTGACACTCGGCAGAAGGCCGACCGAGAGAAAGCTGAATACAGAGAGATGGCTGATGCTGCAAGGAAGGAAGGAGAGAGAGAGAGAGAGAGAGAGAGAGAGAGAGAGAGAGAGAGAGAGAGTATATATATATATACATATATATATATATACAGATAACCGAGAACAGGCAGCGCGAGAACATCGGGAGCTCCGCGGTCAACTGGAAGCCGATATACTCGAGGCCGAAAGAGTGACATCTGAGGCGCTGCGAGCCCTGCGAGATCAAGAACAGAAGACCCAAGCAAACGGAGAAGAGGACCATAGAAGAATGGCCGATGCCCGGGGCCGCCTGAAGGGGCACTCGAGAGAGGAGATAAGAAACAACGCCCTTGCAACTCGAGCCATGAGTGAGGGGGATTGACGGTTGAGGCACGATCTTGGGCGGCGACGGATCGAGAAAGAGGTTGATTCAACGCCGGCGCAGCCGGCGCATGTTGAGCCACCCCCATCGCCCCATTGCTGCTCGCCCTATTAGGGCGCCTGGCGCATCGCGAGCTCAAATGCGATTGTGCGCTCCGAATCAGGCCTGTCACATTTGCACGCGGCCTTCGACCGACGCATGCAAGGGCCATTTGAAGCGCGCGCGCAATGATCGCCCGGATATGAGCACAAGCGCTGCGATGAATGTGCTGGGAGAAAAGCGCCGGGATATAACGATGACTGCGAGGGGAGGGGGGGGCCCCGAGGCATGTCTGATGCTCAGAGCGCAGGCAACGATCCTGATGCGAAGGCGCCGAGACGCTCGGCCTAAGGATGTTGAGCCCGAGCGCCCGATGAGCAATCTTGCCGATATCATGGGCGCGCCAGTTTTCAAATCAGAGAAGCCGGACATTGGCAAGATGCCGACGTTGACTGCCCGGTCGATGCCGACGCTCCTCCTTGCAAAATCGCATTTCTTTCCTGGGCCAGCTGCCGAGAAGACCTCGGGGGCAAGCGAGGGTCCTACGCGGGGGGGGGGGGGGGGGGTCGCTCCAGGAACGAACCCTGGAGACGCCCCTTTCAATGCGAAGATATCGGATCACCCTAACAACCTCGGCTTGCCTCGACACCTTCCTTTCGCCGTCGGCCCGGCCGTTTCTCGTGGGGGAGGTGGGGGCCCGGGAGGCCACGACGACGATCAAGGAGACGATCAGAGTACAGCCCCCGGCACAGGGATGACTGCTGCGCTACAGTCTAACGAGACGGATCAGTTCAAGCCGGCTGGAGGCCCTCCAGGGGGGCCCAGTGGCGATGGCGACCCGGGCGGAGATGGCGGCGGGGGGCCGAGTGGTCACGACGCCCGTGCATGGCGGCCATTTCGAGCCAACCAAATGGACATAAACTGGAGAAGTTCTGGAAACAATAAAGAACTAAACCTGCTTGATATACCAAGCACCCAGACACTCCGAGAATGGAAGCAACATTGCATAAGAGCAGTAGCT